GGCAGGGATTTGTCTTCAGAACAATCTACTTGCTGATTCCATGTGGTTAGCTGGGAGAGGACTGCAGCCCAGAGCTCTTTCTAGCCTGGGAGCTACTCTTAAGAACACCCCACAGTTGCATGGAAGTAAAGAGATGACGGCTGTGGTCAACTTCCACCTGAACCCAGCCACGAATAAGAAGCACCCACTCTGTCCTCAGAGAGCCGAAGGATAACCAGGCAACCTTGCCTCTGTGAGGACGGTTAAACAGCTGGAATGATTTGTCCACAAGAAATTAGGAGGCTCGGCAACTCCACCCACTTACAGCCCATTTTTAACAATTTTGCTCTCCTGTAGCAGGTTTTGTTTTTTTCTCTTTTTCTTTTGCACAGTGTGCAGCCTCGTTAACTTTTACCTTCCTTAGTTTGAAGGCTGTTATTTCCATCAGGACCCTGAGGCTCTAGGCCTGGGGCTGGCCAGCTAATTGGCATGTGGGTTCTTTGGTGCTGTATCTGTGCTGTCAGGGTTGGTAGTCTTTGAAAGGCAAACTTTGGAAATTGTGTTCTTAACCCAGAGATATTATAAAAGAGCCCCTTGGGAACCTCCATCCCTACTCCCCATAAGCAAGAGCTTAACCACAGGGCCATCTTCCCAGCCCCTGGATATTGCACTCATGAAGGCACTATCATGCAGGCCGTGTTGACTGAAGTATCTGCGTGACCCTGTATATTAAAAGTCTACTTATCTGAGCACTGTCCTGATGGAAGGGGAGCCTTCGTGGGTTCTAGTCCCAGCTTTCGGGATGGGAGGATAGTTCTGGAGACTAATGAATAAGTGGTCATGTGACTGCCAGTGTCAGGATCCGTGACAGATCTTTCGGACTGTGAGAGGCTGGTGGCTACCCCACCATTGCCCAGTTTCTGTTTGCCTTTGGCTTTCTGCTGTGCATTGGTTACTTTTGAATCACCAAGGTCCAAACGCCGGAAAGAAGCAAGGAAGGAGCGGCTTCCTTTGGCTCCTGGTTTCAGGGGATGTCAGTCCATTGTGATGGGAAGGTTATGATGAGGCTGAGGAGGAAGCAGGCAGCTCCTGTGCACAGCAGCGTGTGGAGTGGTGGTGACAGGCTCGTGTGCAGTGGGGGCTCCTCATGGGACAGAGAGATAGAGAGAGACACACAGAGACAAGAGACAGAGAGAACTTATGGAAGAGTTAGGATGTATACATCACTGAGCAAGAATGCGATGCCTGTGGGGACAAGAGGAAGTGAAGCTACACTAGAGAGACATGGGACCTTCACCTCAGGAGGGGTTCCAGCCCAGGAGAGAGAGGCATAGCTGAGTCAGCAGGGCTGCCTTGGCCAAGCACCAGCAGCGAGGTGACCTGACAACAGATGTTGACTTTCTCCAAGCTGAAGTCTGACATCAGGGCTCTTGTGTGTTTCCTGGAAAGGGTGCTGTTTCTGGCTTGCGGGGTCGGGGCGTGGCTACATTCCACCTCATCACAGTGTACCCACAGGACCTTCCTCTGCTGTTTCCTGCTCATGAGTTTGAGAAAGGGAAGAAGGGAAGAAGGGAGATGGGGAAGGCAGAGGTCAAAGGAAAAGGGGCAAGCGCTCTGATGTCCCTTCTCAGAAAGACACTAAATCCCACTGGGTTGGAGCCTCACCCTTAGGACCTTGCTTAACTTAACGACTTCTGGTCTCTAATCAGCCTCACCAGAGCTCAGAGCTTCAACATGCATGTGGTCATAGGAACAGAAGTGCTTGGTCCTTAGCGAGGAGGATGAGGATGAAGGACCGCAGACACCCAGACACGACTAGGTAATTTCAGCTGCTCTTGGTCACTGCAGTGGCCTTTTGGCTCCACCCCCTGGTTTCGAAGCCGACTTGAATAGAACAAAACAACCTTAGAGCTTTTAAAACCTCCTCGGCTTGCCTGCATTCTGCACAGCTTCCTCCATACAACCTGGTGGGTTCAGGTGCCTCAGGACAGGCCGGGTGGGGGCGGGGGCGCGGGGTGTTTCCCAGCTCCTCATCCTCCCTTTCCATGTGCAGTGGTGCTTGCACATGTGAGCCGCACAGCTCTGTCTTACAGTTTGAAAGAGCCGAGGCTAGAGGCCTAGCTCAGTGGTAGAGTACCTGCCCTCCTCATGAGAGACCCCTCGTGCCATCCTTAGCACGGCAGAACAGGAGCCAAGGTGAAGCCTTACTGGAGGGTAGCTTAGCCAATAGCAGTCACTGATTAGCCAATAGCGGGCACTGAGCTACTGCTTCATCCCTAGCAGCATACTCAGCAGCACGGACCATCCCGGGACGAATTCTGTCAGTCACAGGGGATAATCCTCCACTCTCAAAGGATCTTTCAGACTCAGAGAAACAACACACACACACATGCTCGCACACACTCACACACTCACACACATGCGGGGCCACACAGGAACATCACAAGGAGGACTGCAGAACCGGAAGGTGATTCCTCAGTTAATAACAGGCACGCTTGTCCCGCTCGGGAGAGTCTGCTGACAAATGCTGGTCTGGTGAGGCACTGACCGGGAGATCTGAATGTGCACAGGTAGTGGTTGCTAAACTCGACCTTTTCTGTGGACAGAGGTACGAGGTACGGGGAACTGCCAGAGTGGTGGTTGTGAGCTCGTAGACATCTGATGGCATTGAGGTACCGGGAGCTCCAAGAATGAGGAGCCAAGTGGGATGAGCTCAGCAGCCAGGGCTGCCGCTGAGCCTTCCACAATGCCCACAACAGCCTCCGACAAAGGACTGCTCAACCCAGAACACCAAGAGCACTGAGGGCAAGAAACTCAAGTGTCCATTTGCAGGAACATCTGGAGCACGGTGGAGTATGGGATTGGGTCTTTTGACGTTCCTGGGTCTCAGCTTATCTACCTGTAATGTACTAGTGTCTTAGCTTACATTGGCCTAAACATTATGGGATTGAGTGACAAGAGAACAAAATAAGCATGTGCCTCCAGACAGTTTTTTTCAAGGGCTTTTGGGGCACAGTTCCTAAATGTTGGGCAAATCTGTGGAACTATTTTACCCTCTGGCCAGAGCTGGAAGGACCTAGTCCTCCAGGTGTTATCACTCAGGGACAGAATCTCCTGAAGTTACCCAGGATGTCAGATGCCAGCCAGCATACCTGGGCGCTTCTTGCCAGGCATTGTCTGTGCTGCCAAGTCCTGAAAGAAGTACAGCTTTCCCAAGCCTGAGCAGAGCCGTTACTCCAGGTTCTCAAGCTGTACCTCCTCCTCTGTCCTCGTAGGCAAAGCACTGCTCTTCCAGATGATGGTAAACAGCCAGGCAGGAGAGGACGGGCTGAAGCAAGCTTTGTCTGTGCAGGGAAGGTGGCTAAAGAAAGCGCAAACCATCAGAGTGATGACATCACAGTTCTCTGCATAATCCCCTCACCATAAAACAGCAGACCGTGCTCAAGCACTGTCACAGAAATTCCAGCGTTAGACATTCAAGCCATCTTCACAGAGCACTCTGAGAAAAAGAGATCTCGGCATGGAGAGAACTCTGAAGAGCGCCACTGCGTCATATTACAAACACACATGGTGGCTTTGAAATCAGTGCTGCGGTGTCATAATGTATTCCTCTGTACTTACAGGCACACAGCACATGGCCCTTGCTTGCTGAAGACTGAATTTTAAATGTCCCTGCAAGGGCCCAGGTGTTAAAGCCTAGTCTCCACAGTGGCGCTGGAAGCTGGGGCCCAATGAGTGGCCTTAGGTTTCTGGGGGTGTGCTTCTCAATGGAATGATTCACCCCAAAATATCACAAATGCTGTGGGTGCAAAATCCAAGCTCAGTCTGAGGAGGCGCCCGAGACCCCAGGCCTTTCCTTTCCTTCTTACCCCCTCCCACACATGAGCTAGGCATCTTCGCCGTCTCTCACTGCCCACCACAATATGCTGCCTCACTGCGGATCCAAAAGCATGGGACCAACTGACCACGAACGAAAACCTTAAAAAAACATGGGCAAAAGTCAGCCTCATTTGTAAGTTCATCATCTCTGGTATTTGGATACAGTTATGGAAAAAGAATGTAGGTACTTGGGAGGCAAAGGGAGGAGAATCGTGAGTTTGAAGCCAGTGAGCACTATATAGTGAGATTCCCTCTCAAAAAAGTGAGGGTTGGAAAGATGGCTTAGTAAGACGTTTGCCACACAAGCATGAAGGCCTGAATCTAATATCCCAGAGCCCACATCAAAAGTGTGGTGGGGACCGCAGAGCCCACAGGTGTGGTGGGGACCACAGAGCCCACAGGTGTGGTGGGGACCGCAGAGCCCACAGGTGGGGACCGCAGAGCCCACAGGTGGGGACCACAGAGCCCACAGGTGTGGTGGGGGACCTCAGAGCCCACAGGTGTGGTGGGGACCGCAGAGCCCACAGGTGAGGACCACAGAACCCACAGGTGTGGTGGGGGAATGCCTGTAATCCTGAGCTGGGGAGGTGGTGACGTGGGGCTCACTAGACAGCCAAGGTAGCTAAATCTATGAGCTCCAGGTTCAGGGAGAGACTCTGTCTCAAAATCTAAAGTGGGGCACAATTGAGGAAGATACCAGTGTTGACCTCTGATCTCCCCCCACGCACATACATGCATTATGTACCTGCATACACACACGTGCACATGCAAATGTACACACAGAGACTAGCATAACGCAAAATCATTTTCCCTGTGAACCAAAGGCTCTAAGGGAGAGAAAAAAAAAAAGGTGCCAACTCCCCTCATCCTGCAGAGCAAAGTTAAGCCCACCTTGAAGGACTTCCTTGAGGGATGGTCAATAACACCTTTGCGACTGTCAACCTATTATCTACCTTGAGGGCTGCTTTGTATCTTTGGACAGGGTGTCTGTGTGTGTCTGTCTTAACTCAGACAGAGGGGCCCTTTCTCTCCACCCCACGACAAGGAAGAAGCAAGAAGACCACTGAGAGAACTTGGTGCTCATTCTGGAGGTTGGTGGAACATATGGCTGAGAAGAGAGGAAGGAAAAAAGGAGAGGGGAGAGGGGAGAGGGGAGAAGGCTGGTCCAGGAGCCACCACGTCCCTCATGTTGCCCAGCTGTGGAACAAGAAGACAGCGTTTATCAGAGACCAAGCAAACCTCCCCTGAGCCTGTAATAGGAGCCACGTCAGGGGTCCCTCTCCAAGGGGCTGAAAAGAGGGTGACTGGATCTGACAAAGAAATCCTACATGAGGCACCAAGGGTCAACATCAGCCAGGGAAATGGAAAGCACACCACAGGCATTTCTATAAGAGGTTCAAAGCAGGGCCATCTTCAAGGCCCCACAGACTTTCAGGAGATTAAATGCCAAGTTCTGAACAAACATCCTATTCTATTGGTACCCAAGGACATGATAATCATCTCCCACCCTTGGGCCAACTCCAGAAGGAAGGAAACCATGAAAGATGGGAAGGGAGAAGTAGAATATAAAAGAAAGAGAAAAGGCCAGCCTTTCCCTGTCCTCCCTCTTGAGACTGCAAGCATGCAAGGGCTGGGGAGGACATCCCAGCGGGTGAGAGGATGAAGCTGTTATTAGCCTGGTAGAAAGTTCTACATCTCCTGGCGGCTCTGGACCTTCCAGAGACTCCAGTACAATCATTTCCAGCCCACAGTTCCTAATGTTAACAAATAAACACCACACACGTTCCCATCATGCCCTCCACCCCTGCCTCCATGCCCTTAGGATCACTGCTCTGTGTCTTCTGCTGTGCTTTTTTTAACACACTCCATCTCTGTCGCCCAGGCTGGCCTTGAACGTCCAGGCTCCCATCATCCTCAGTCTCCTCTCCGGGTCCCTCCAGGTGTGTTCCACCATCCTGACTTTTTTTGCCTGTTCCTTTCTGGGTCAAGGATAACTCCCGAGGTTCTGTGAATGCTTGCCAAACACTCTGCCACTGACCTCTGCACCCAGCTGGTTCTCTGCTTGGTTTTCTATAAACACAACCAAACAGTGCACGCTCCTGTGGCTGGCTCCTTGACTCAGCTTTGCCTTGGAGCCGTGTTCACGGTCTGTGAATCGGTAGCTTAGCTTTGTTGCCGAGTGGGGCTCTACCACAGTTGTATTGCATTAGTCTCCTTCTTCCAGATTTGGGCTGTTAGTAACATATTTAAGAACAATCTAGATGTGTTTCATTTATCCTAATTGGATAAAAGTGACACTCCTAGGTTTTGAGATGCTCACTTTATAAAACACTGAGGCCACCTGCACTCATGTATGTAAACCCAACTTTCTCACATACTCACAATTAAAAGTAATTTAAAAATAAATTTCAGACTCATGACAAGTTCCTTTCTGCTTGCTAATAGAGTCTGGGAGAGTCTTGTAGGTGGCGAGGTATGTTTAGTTTCTTAGAGCGTTTTCCACTAATAGAAGAATAAAGGATGTGTCAAGCATAGTGGCACATGCCTTCAGTCCCAATGGTCAGGGGGCAGAGGCAGGTGGTTCCTTTTAGGTCTGAGGCCAGCCTGGTCTCCACAGCAAGTTCCAGAATAGTCAGGGCCATGTGGAGAGACTTTGTCTAAGCAGAAGAGGAGGAGAAGCAGGAGGAGGAAAGATGAATTCTACACTGAGAAAGGTCAGAAAGAGGTGGGATGAGGACAAGGAGAATCTACCATGGACAACAGCCTGAAAAAGGCGAAGAGGCAGCAGGTGGTGTGAGGGTGGCTTGCTGTGTGCGGCGACGGTGGTGACAACAGCACACACCTGCTGAGGCCTAGCGACGCTGTGCTCAGCACTGTGCTAAGCACATCCCGTGCCTAACCCCACATTCTGTGCAAGAAGCCGTGGGTAAAGTTCATGTTATCACCAAACTACATATGATGAAAACAGAGGCATGAAAAATCTTCATGGGGAGATGGTTCAATGGGTGAGAGCACTTGCTGCGCAAACGTGAGGACCTGAGTTCAAATCCCCAGCACTCTTGTAAAAGGGATTGAGTGCCTGTAGTCCCAGATCTTTGAGGGGAAGAGATGGAGGAATTAATTATTGGGCCTTTCTGGCTGTCAGCCTAGCTCCAGGTTCAGCCAGAGACTGTGTCTCAAAGGAACACAGAGGAGAGCGATGAAGCAGGACATCAGATATCTTCCTCTGGCCTCCGATCACCCCAGAGAAAAGCCTTATCTTAGCTTGTGTAGACCATGAGCAGGCTCACACAGCACGAGCCTGGCTCCAGGCTGGAAGTGTCGTCCCAGGCAAGAAGAAAATGCTAAGTTCAGCAGCCAGCACCCACTTGATGCTAAGACACAGAACAGAGATGCTCACGGTCCTAGGATTAATCTCAGCACCAGTGAACAGCAACAAAGCAAGGCTCAAAAGCTACTAAAGGGTGTGGGACATCTCAAATGGAAAACATTACAATGAGACTCCACAGATGCTCTCGCAGGCTTGTGGGGATTGGGAGGGAATCAAATACACTCTGTTCTTAGAGAATGCCCACAGAAGGCTGCTGTGAGCTCTAGTTGTAGGGAGAGCTCGCTGGCTGACTTCCCTGCCCTTCTCTTCCTTCCCACTCCCTCTTCCTGCCCCTTCCTTCTTTCCTTTCTTGCAATTTGTGTGTGTGTAGGGGAGGGTAATGCTTTTTTTATTTTTCCATCAGTCGGTTTGCAACATGAAGCCATAGACAGGCAGACAGATGGAGGATTGTTTTGTTCACACACTTCTTTGTTTCAGTAATTTCTGCTACCCAGGGTCTCACTGCCTTGTAGAGCATTGCAAGCCTTCCCAGGTGGAAGATTACTCTCACAAACAACACCTGAAGCCATCATGCTACAAGTCAGACCTATTTTCTTTCAGTTTGTCCTATGAGGAAACTGGAAGAGCATGAAACACTCTTTTATTGAGTACAGTGTTACTTTATATCTTAAATAGAAATGCTGAATTTTCAAAGTTTGAAATTTTGATTCTTATTCATCTCCTTCATCTATTGCCTTTTGTCACCCCCTCTTGCTGGCCTCCTACTCCCCAAGTGCTCCCCGAATTCTGCTTTCACCTCGCATGGATTACTTTACTTTTCCTTTTTCAAAACCTTCTTCTCCACTCCCTTAAGCTCTCTTCCTCCCCTCTCAAGCTTCCCCTTCTACTTTTATTATATGCACACACTCACATGCCCCACAGAGAAAGAGGGAAGGAGAACCAGAGGCAGAGACAGAAAGACACACACAGAGAGAAATAGAGTCCAGAGGCCAATATGAGAAGAAATATGTAGTACCTATCTTTCTTAGCATCCACCCCCACACACCATCACACACCCCACACCACAACACACAGCACCACACACACAGCACGGGAGCTGAAGGCAGAGCCTGCTGAAGGACTAGACCTTGGTCATTTCAGCTCTAGGGCTCAGGCCCACAGGCTCTCCACTAGGAGGCCTTCCCTGGAAACACAATGAGATGCCAGAGGTCATATGGTCCAGGTCTGGCCTTTGGCCTCCCTCCCTCTGGTGCTTCTGCTCCTTTTTGCTGTGGTAAAGTCCCTGAACCAGCCTGGAGGAGCAAAGGGTTTAGTTCATGTTACACTTTCCAGGCCACAGTCTAGCAGTGTGTGACATCAGAGCAGGAACGTGGAGCGGAAATCACGGAGGAATGGTGCTTTCCGACTCGTTCCCATGGAGTCCCGCTCAGCCAGCCTTCTTACACAAGCCAGGACCCAGGGGCGGTGCAGCCCACAGTGGCCTCACCCTCCACATCAAATAGCAACCAAGACAATTCCTCACAGACATGGCTGCTGAACAAGTGAAACGTCCTCTTCCCAGGCGACCCTTGCTGTGTTAGTTGGCAACAAAACTGACCAGGGCCCAGAGCTGTGTGGGAATCACAGTTTTAGAGTGAGGCGCCTACCACAGGTGCCCGTGTTGAGGGCTTGTCCCCAGCTCCCTTCCTCTCTTCGTACCTCCTGTCACTTTCATGTTCTTCCCTAGTGCCTGGGGCCTAGGAACTGTGGGCTGACTCTTCTAAAACCACGAGGCAGAATAAGCGCTTCCTTGAGTCATTTACATGCAGGACTTTGTCCCAGCACTGACAAAGCTCACGCAGGAGACCTGATGGGTTGGGATACTGGCCCAGAACGATTGCTTCGAAACAGTTGGGTTTTTCAGTGATTCATCAGAACTTCTGACACCTCGGTCTAGAACCAGGGCCTTCTTGATCACTGAAGTCCACGAGTAAGGACTGGCCACACGGTGCCAGGGCTGTGCCAGGATGTGAGGTAGGGGTCACTTGAAGGTACTGGTTACCTTTTACTTCAACGGAGGCAGCCTGGCAGCCTCACCTCCCTTGTCCTTGGGCGAAGCAGAGGAACGGTGGGTGCCCGTGCCGGAGGCAAAGCTGTTCAGCACCCATCCCACCTCAGGGAAGGTCCAGAGCCTGATGGATTTGCACTGTATGGAGAAAGGAAGGAAGCAGCATCCGGGAACTGTCCACACTTTACAAGGGAAGTCGCCTCCACAAACCCTCTTCCCCCCGACAAGTATCTGCTGGCATTCCCTCAGAGGAGAACTTGGCTCCTTCAGGAGCCCCACATGAGCTCCTTCAGGAGCCCCACATGAGCTCCTTCCTCGAAGGAGGCCTGAACAGCCCCGTGATACCTTAACAACCTGCCGACACAGGAGCTAACATGAAATAGAGCAGTCTTCCGGCACCAGGCAGGTGAAGATGAGGCTAGCTTCAGTCCTGAAGTTCTGCTAGGAAAAGTTGCCCCTGACTTCAGGGGGCTGTGAGGTTAGAGACCCCAAGCACAGCAAGCTGCTGCTCCCATCATAGGGCATCAGCTTCTGTGGGAAGAGAGGCACACAGAGAACCTTCTGCAATGCAATGAGGTCTCCCGGGCTTCCTGTCATGCAGAGCCTGTCTCTCTGGAAATTTGGGAAACTCCTCAGGGTCCAGCCTTCCACTGAGCTGATAAGGTGCTGCGGGATAAGGGAGATCTCGTTCAGCCCATCTCCCACCCGGGCTTGCCTTCCTCTGACATGGAACCCAGACAGCATGGACTGACTTGGTCGTGTTTATAGCCAAAGCTTTCTTCTGGGTTCTTGGAACTAAGACCTAGAACCCCGGTACTTCCTGAAGTGGACCCTGTGGCTATCATTTTGGGCACTGGGAACAGGAAAAGCGGAAGGCAATAGGGCGAGTGGGGTGGGTTGGAAGAAGAAGCATTGACTTGAGGGGAGCCCAGGGGTCCCTCTGCAACGTGCTTTCTGAAGTCAGCAATAGGTTTTAGGAGTAGGGTTTTAGGAGTAGGATTCAAGCCATACTTGAAGGGATTGACCTGGTGAAGACAGTTGTTAAAGAAAAGGTCAGAGAACCTCAATTAAAAAAAAAAAAAAAAAAAAAGCCATTGCCCTTCCTGTTCAGTGTTCCTTACTCCCTGTCTCCCCTGCTTCAGGGTGAAACACAATATCTTAAGCAAACAGAGCTCAAAGAGGCTGGTCATTGGCTCCCATTGTCCCCTGATACCGCAGCCCCTCCCTCCGCTTGGCCTGAGCGGACAAGCGGTTTATGGTTTTTGCAAGGGCCACCCTTTAACTCACAGCCTGGCGATATAATGGGCTCATTTGTCTGAGGGCTAACGAGGGCTGAGCTCCCAGCGCCGACGAGGCCGGGCCGGTCGCTGCTGCCCGGGAGTGGCCGCGATGGAACCCAGGTAAGAACTTCCGCGCGTGCGAAGAGTCGTGGGCTCGGCGGGAAACGAGCTCTGGGCGAGTTGCTCGCCTTTTCACGGTGTTCAGGTCTTGTCTGCACCGACCGAGGGAGACCAGGCGGTTACCTGAGACTTGCCCAGCAAGTTTACAGGAGCCTGGCCCACCCGGGTGAGGAAGGACGGAGCGCCAGGAGCGGGAGGGAGAGAGAGGCAGCTCGGACCCCCAGCAGCAGCTCTGACCCCCCCAGCAGCAGCCGCAGCGCTGGGCTGAGCTGCAGACGCCCTCCCCTCCCCCGCGCTGCGGGGCTCCCGCGCTTCTCCTGCCCAGTGCGCCTGTTCACGGGTTACCTCTGGCGCGGGGAGCTAGCCTGTGCACCCCAGCCGACCCCCTTTGGGAGACGGAACGTGTTTTAGTATTTTCAAAAGGAAGGCGTAGTGAACGCGCCATAAACAGACCCATTCAGTAAATGTGGGAATGGCTGTGGGCCAGCAAGCTGCTGTAAAGTTTAACTAGCTCATAAAAGTGCTCAAAGGGTACTTGGAATAAGGAAGAGCCCGGGGCGAATGGGGAGTTTGTCCTTGATTACTGAAGTGAAGAGGCAGGGGCCGGGGGCGGGGCGGGGATGGGCTGCCCGGCGCCCCTCCCTCACCCTTACCGTGAGGACGCTGTGGGGTGGAGAGTCTGCCCGCCGCCTGCGCAGCCCTGCTGCTGTCTACGCCTCAGGTTCCTGGGTCGGTTTGGTTCCCTCCTCTTAGCCGATTGGGCGGTAGACACCTGTCCAAGCACAGAGCGGTGGCTGCACCCGAGGTAGCGCCCGGCCAACCGCCTTAGAAACCCCCGCCTCCTGCTGGGCCAGAGAACCGTCCGCGGCCGCTTTGATCAGACGCTTGCGCCTTCCCGAGGAGCCCGGTGGTATGAAGTCAGAGAAGCGCAGTGTTTGATGTGGGTGGCGGTCTGATAAGCTGGGGAAGGAGGCTGGCGCCTCGGGCCTTTGTGGCTGTGCTTTCTCAATCTCTGGCCTCTCCCCGGGATCTGGGCGCTACCTGGACTCGGGACCTTTGAAAATGTCAAGCTTTTGAGCACCAGATGGAATTAGATCAGAACGCAAAAGCCAGTTTGCAAGTCAATTTGGACCCAAAGCAGCATGGTGTTTAGTTAATTCGGTGAAAACAGAAGGCCATGTGCCAGCCAGCAAGGGCTCCTGAGTGAGTGCTCTGAGAGCCCGGGACAGTGGGGTGCTGAGCTGCTCCTTAGAGGAGGCTAGTAAAGGGAAGAGCTGACTGGGAAAGTGAGCTCCAGACTGGCTAGGGTGCAGTGGAGCCAGTGGGAAAGGGAGGGGCGCGCATCACCCACCTCCCAGCCCCACCCCGAAAACTCTGTTGGGGACACTGCATTCCCACACTCTGCCATCTCTGGAAGCTCGGTCCCATCACCCGAGACTGCCAGCTGTAAATCAGGGGTCCCTGCAACCTGGAGAGGTTTGGGGACTAGTGTACCTGCGTCTGACGCTGTGCTGTAGCTCGGAAGTTCTGTGGCTCCAGTCAACTAAGGCGTTAAAGATTTGTAGAGCCCAGCGAAGTGTGTTTATGTCTACAGGCAGATCACAAAGGATGGAAGGAAGAACAGAAACAGTCGGGTGGAGATGCGTGCGGTAGAACTGGGCTGTGGAGGGGGTCCCCCAGCGCCTTCACCGCCCAGGAGATGTTATTGGTGGTTTGGGTTTGTTTTACTGAGACATCATTCCCCAGGCCTCATTGGTTGGATTATAGCCACTGGGGATTAAGTTAACCTCCGGAGACATTCTGCCCCCTGGAGGTTGGCATTGGTGCTGCAGCAGGAGAGTGGCCCACTCCCTTGACCAACAGACCCCTTCCCTGAGGCTTCTGGAAGCCCTCGGCCTTTGTACATCCCGTGAGCACACAGAGCTACCTTTTCAGTTTGTGCATCCTATGGCTTCAAGAACCGTTTGCCAAGAAACAGGGACAATATAATATGCATATATATATTTCTTATTCTAAACCTCGGTCGGTATCACACCTTGCTAGGATTTTGCCCTTCAGGTCAGCTCTTACGGACATTGGTGTAAGTCGGGTGCCATGTGCCATCTCTGGGTGCCAGTGCCCAAATCTGCAGCACGCGGTTGGTCCTAAGGCCCGTCGGGTGAAGGTGGTTCTTGGGGCTCAGCACTGCCCTGTTGGTGGGGGTAACCCCAGAATGACCAGGCGGAGGCAGGTGCTCCAGAGCCTGGGGATAAGAGCAAGAGTTTTGATGTCACCTCTTCCCTCTGCTGTTTATTTGTGTAACATTTAGTAAGCCTCACACTCTTCTAGGGTTTCTGACCGGACCACTGGGAGGCTTAAGTGTGTCTGGGAGTTTGTTGCGCAGTGCTCAGCACACAGAAAACCTGTGGCAAATGTATTTATTTCAGCGATAGGCCTAACCACGGGCCAAGTTTGCTGAGTGCATCTCAGGCTCCTGTGAAAATTCTGGAGGAAGAAACTAGTGAGTCACCCATGCAAGGTCACATTCTAGTTTCCACGCCAGGCTGGCTGGCAGGTGACCCTGGATGAAGTGTGTCCCTTGAGCCATTGTCATCTGACCATCAATGAGACGCCTTTCAGCTCACTCTCACACTTGGCCCATGCTGAACTTCACCTCTGGCTCCAGCTTCTGCTGATGAGGAGGTGTCCTGGGGAAGCCCCTTGCTCACTGAGGTTCCCTCATCATCTTCATCATCAGGGTTTCCCCCACAGGACACTGAGGGTTGGAAAGATGGAGACACAGATATCCCCAGTGGGATGGGACTCCCTAAACAGTACTCCCGAGGATTCCCACAAGGACTAGGCTGAAATCATTGCTGAGCATGGAGCCTGACCCTACAGGGGCCAGGTTGGGAGCTGGGAGCCAGTCTAGGAGAGAGTGTGAAAAGTGAAGGCCTCGCCCATGCCACAGAAACCCCAGCCTCACTCCTTGCTAAGCCTGAGGAGAGCGCTTATTTCTTCACTGGGCCCTTTCTGTAGTGAACCCTAAGAAAATGGAGGCCCCCAAAGTCCAGTGTGTAATCCAGCAAGATCACGGAAAGTGGCAGGCCATCCCTAGCACACTTTTCTCTAAAGAACAACAGCCTGGTGACCTTTGGGCTCCCGGGCCTTCTTACAAGAGCGATGGGAGGAGTGGAGATTTGTCATAGTCCCTGTACTTCAGAGTTCACGCCCCACCGTATCTTTCAAGCTAGCAGACACACTCCTTCACCAAACATGGTAGACACCCTGTCTGTCGTCCAGGCACATTAAAGGGACTCACAAAAAGACAGAGAGAAAGTCAGACCCTTTCTGAGGAGGACCCGGCACCCTTTCGCCTCATGCCACCCTGTGGGAGCACCGCTCTCATCTCACCTCCCACCCGTGCAACCCCTCGAGGGCTCTGACTGCCCAGAGGGTTTTCCCTCTCTCCACTGCAATTCCAGCACTGGGCTTGAGATGCTGAGATGCTGAGGTGAGGACACTGAGACGAGGACACTGACGCTGAGGTGAAGACACAGATGCTGAGGTGGAGTTAGGGTACACTGACTTTCTTCTGCACATCCAGATCTACCATAGTTTTTCATTCGTAATGAGACACAGTCAGCAATGAACAATAGTGAATCCCAAGGAGCACTTACAGGAACAAGCAGTAATGACACGCTGCTTTGTTCTAGAGTTCTCCACTTTGTGTCTTTTGATCTCAGTTGACCATGGCTTGCTGAAACCGAGGAATGTTTAAAATGTGGATATGGTGACCACTCTATAGGGGCTTCAAGTAAATATGAATGGGTGGCCTCTGCCTGCTTCTAGCATCCAGTGAGATCTGCATTATCCTCTCCTGCTCTCGTCCCTGAGTGCTTTCAGGGAAGGTAGGCACTAACTAAATTTCCAGAGTGGCCAGCACCATCTAATCCCTTTAATGTGTCACTGCCCCTCAGGTTCTTCCCTGGAACCAAGGGAAAAGAATGAGGCTGTGTACACTATGATTCTCCCTGTTCCCTGGACTTGGCTGTTTTCTTTTGACTGTTTTTGGAACAGGAAATAGCAGCCATTGGTGTTTTCCTAGGAAGGGAAGCTCTTTCCATCCACTCTCAGCTTGGGTAGCTGCTGTAGCTCTGGGTCCCTTCTCTGTTCTGGGCACAATGGGGACTTACATAAATATTAATTGCTGCTGGTACCTTACCAACAGAAAACGGAAAGACCCCTATAAGGCAGCGGTGACCCTAGAAATCTCAGAAGCTGTGCTGGATATGTGACCAGGACA